TCTCTTCTTATGTATAGCAGTTATTGATATTTTCTCAATTTCACACAGTTTTGGCATATTTTCAACTGCACTACATTCTTAAACATCCTTTAGGGATACAGCAAAGACATAAGTCTTTCACATTTGAAGCCTGGATGGAATTATTTCATTAATCTCATCCCTCTTGACATTCATTTTTTCTTTTGCTTTGCAGGTTGCAAAGTAAGAGAGAGTTCTGCAACACTTCCGAAAATCATGGTAAACATCCCGAGATGAAGTGACAGATGCATGCCTCTTCAGCAACTCACAGTTGGGACTTTTATAGTTAGTTATTTTCTTCGTGACCTTTTTTCTTCACAACTTCAGTAACACTGCATGGGCAACCCTAAATAGGAAAGGTTCAGGGCAGGACTGTCAACTTCAAGAATGGGAAAAAAGAGTTAAAACTGCTTTACAACTTTACTATCCAATTGGTTTTTGGCAGCTTAATGACAGAGGTGATAGCCTATCTTTGAACTTGAGGTGATTCTTCTGCAGAATAGCAGCATTTTTTCATAGGCACTTAACCGGTCATACCCAAGTGCACGAGACAAAAAGCTGCGCCAAAAGTATAATGGTCCCTTCGGAAAGAAAAACAGAAGTCCTCCCAAACCTGTATGCACAGGTCTGAAATTTTTTCCATTGCAGTTTCTGCTCTTCAAAAGGATACGCAGGTGAGCTGCTCTGAAGCAGAAAAAGGCAATTAAACTGACAGGATCTTCAATAGCAAGATAATTTCAATTCTACAGGCAGATACTCTTCCTCCCTCTAACTTTAACTTGCATATTGACTGAAAACTGCCTATTAAGGATCTGCAGTCTTTGACATGCAAAAAAGGAAAGTAGGTTTTGCAGCAAACGTCTCAATAAAAAGATTAAGACAGCCGAATGCATCACACACTGAACAACTTAAGAGATTTAATACCATAATCTAGGAAAGTATACAAGGGAAAAGATTCACATCAAAGACATGGAGACGGGTACACTTAATTGACTTGCTCACAAAAAAATTCAATACATTTACTGATTTGCATGTTTCATCACTTCCCACAAAGGGCTGAAAAAGTATAAACCATTCAAACTTCATGTGTAGCAGGTTCACCTTCTTGACAAGTGCAAAGTTACGCATAGCAAATTCACTAAGGGATGACTGAGGACTGAGCTTTGCCATGTTACATGACAAATAGAAAACTGTTTTAACACTGGATATCTCATGGATCAGAATTATTCTATGGACATTAAGCTGGCCATTACTGTCTAAGTACAAATAAGTAACACTTAAAAACAGATGTCCCATTCTCCCTTGATTTGCTGCTTGGAACAGCTCAGTATTCTAAAAAAAGCTAAGAATTTCTGATTAGAACAAATACTTATTCAAGGTCTTGAATTACGAGTAAGAAATTCTAAGTCGTCAAAAGTCACTAATGTGAATCCACCATCTTCAAAAAGCTGCTACTTCTTACACTAGCAATACGTAGCTCATAAGACAACATTCACATGTTTTACCTGTCTAGGGGTTCTGAGGTTAAGAATTACTCCACAGAAAGTCAACACTGCTAGGTATTCAGAAACTTCCTGATTTTAATCTATTGCAACACTGCATAAAAAGATTTTAACTCACACATCAGCCTACCCACACTACCTTTAAACAAGTAATTAATCACAATTCAAATCCCAGTAGCTTCTCTTACTACAAATATGTTTGTTTCCCTATAGTAAACAAATAATTTTGCAAAACAACTAACTAGAAGTAATTAAATTCTCATTTTTATCTTCCATAAATGGTGCAATCAAACCAAGGGTAACACTGAACCTTGCTAACTTTAAGTTTTCCTACTGTCCAATTTGAGCAACAGCAACCTGCTTAACCTCTCTATGTCAGTTCCTCCATCTTTGAGATGGAAAAAATACCTATTTTAATGAAAAGACTGTAAAACCTACACAAGTCAAAAATCACAAAGCGGGGGCGGGAAGCGGGGGGAAGGTGCTAAAGCAATATAAAGTGCAGTTCCACTCTGAAAAGTGACTCTTAAGAGTGGCATCAATTTTCAGACTTTAATTAAATCAGTATCAAGTTTGTTCATTCACAAGTAACAAAGCCACCTTTCTCCAAACTATTAGTCTGTAGATTAGTATAGTCTGTAGGTTAGTATAGTATGCCTAACTGAATTTTTCCACTTGAAGAATACTGCCAATATTAAAAATTAGGTAGATTATATTGAAAGTTATTTATAAAAATAATTCGCAGAAGTGTAGTACTTGACAATTAATTTGCACAGATAAACACCTAAATCCTTCTCAAAACCCATAAAAATCTTGGTCTAATTTTATCATCGCAGGAAGTCCCATTTTTTGCTTCAAATGAAACCTTTCAGTTTCAGAATGCCTTATTATGAAGTAACCCTATACTATGAAAAAATGCAATTTATCATCTATTCATTATTTTATGTGTGTGTTTGTGGCAATTTTTAGTTACAGCTTAATTTTGAGTGGGGACTGCAATAATGTTTTGCTTCTTAAAATTGGTCACAACTCAAAACATTGTTAGCTCATGGATCACATCACTGTCAACATGGGATTCAGAGTTCACTGTAAGCAGAGATCTTGAATCTTGACTTCTGTAGAGTATCATGGTCTTAAAAAAAAAAACCAAAACCAAACCGCAAACAAAAAAAACCACCACCAACCACCACTACCACACCAAAAAACTGCACCCAAAACAGAACAAAAGCCAAGTATGAATTCATGATGGCACTGACACCAAAACCTGAAAGTCAAAAGTAGACATACACATTTGTAGGTAAAGGCTGATATCCTCTTTTTAAAACTTCTTTTGAACAAGTCACTGCTCTCTACATGCCAGTTCCTGATATAACTGCTGGGCTTTACCCATATACTATTCTATACTATTTTTAAATCTCTACTCAGTGTCTAGAAAACAGCTGTGTCAGGGTGATCAAATCCTATTTTAAATTTGACAACTTCCTTATTTCTAGGAGAAGCTACAAAATGAAGTTTCTCAAATACACATAAGCTTATAAAATATTTCATGAATTTGGAAAGAGGGAATCAGGAGTCCAAAACTTCTACTTAAATGCTGCTTAAATGCCTAGCAATTTACCAGAAACTCCAATATTAACTCTAAACAAAGTAAGTAAAAAAAAGAAGCACAACAGGCACCAAACTTAGCTCTTAAAACAGCTAATGTCAGTCTTGACATTTACGTCACACTGGTAACTATAAACTACACATATGCTTTCAGAAATAAGACATTCACATTACTAACACTATTGCTGAATAGGGTAGGATTGTACTATCTACTTCAAACCTAAGTGTTCAGTGGCCTACCATAACAGATCTAAAAAACAAACCAACCAACTAGCAGGTTAAATTACAACTTTGAAAGAAAAGCTGTTAGGAGTCCACTTCTTTACAGATTATTAAAGTCTGTAGAGATCTGGAGGCCAGCAATGCAACCATTTATGTTAAACAAATGATAGCTATCCCATTTAGAAATTTCCACAGTGGTATGTCTAAATGCTGATAAAGCCATTTCAGGCTGACACGGAAGGGAAGAAGGATAGGCAAATATTCCCTAAATTGCTTCCTTCTGTACGCAAGTCCCAGAAAACAATGCAAGTCTCCATACTGTGACGAAGCAGTATAAATTCCTCTCAGTTGCTAGGTTATGTCATCCCTAATGAGACTGCTGCCTGTTTACTTACCTTCCAATTACTTTAAAAAATGGGGTAAGATTTCAGACAGAACATACTTGTGTTTCATTACATGCTTTTCATCCATTTTTTTTCTGGAGAGAGTATTATCTAGAGCTTAGTTTCTACTTAATACTCCCAGATCTGGTGAGGTTACTCTTCCGACTGTCTCTCAAAAGACATTCACCAAGATACACTAAAAGTGCAGTGAAATGTATGTTGGGAATGAGTGAACAGAATTTACACTTGGCACAATGTATGTTATATATTCTTAACTGCTTCAGACGCAACCTCACATTCCTTAACAACTTCCCACTTTCTAGAACTTTTATGTCAAGGAAAATCCTTAACAGAGACTTCCCAGGATATTGTAGCAAAATAACGTTTGAGGGTAATAGCAAGGTCATGTTGTTTTGTAAGGTTATTCATTACAGTTCAACTTGATAATACGTTATTCATTATTTTTTGGCACCTTTCTCTGTGGCACTCTGTTCTGAATCTAAACAAGAAAATGTGCTAAGCAACATAAAAGTGGAGAGAACTGCATAGTTTCTTCTCTTATGTCCATGTTTAAAATTTACAATATCCTATCAAATTTAATTGTCACTTCACAGCTGAAGTGCTTCATTTCCTTAAAACTCTTCGTGAAAAACTGTCAAAGGTTTTGAGTCCAAAAAATGTCATAACTGTGATTTCTCCTTTAATTAACTTCTGGAAAGAAATCTGGTTGTTCCTACTGCATGATCATATAGATTTCAAATTATATGCAGAAATTGAAATCAATATTTTTGATACTGAAGCTGATTAACAATACATCTTCCTTTTCTTAAGCACAAATATATCCACCAAGTCTGAAAGGCTCTAGTGAATTTTAATTAGATCGTATTTCTTAGTTACTGATCCCTTATTTCCTATATACACTTGATACATAGCCAACAGTGTTGCTGAGTTACTGTTTGGTATCAATTTCAGAGGAGAACTGCACTTTGAAGTAATACTACTGAACAGCAGAATGTTTCAAAAAATATAAACAATTATATACATACACCTTTCCTTTACTAACAACAAAAGATTTACAACACTTCTTAAACAGATCAAGTTTAACAGTCATATTTATCTGAGGGACATAAAGAACTTTATTTAGTCCAGTATCAGTTTCATTCTGAATAGCGCAGCTTGAGTCTATTAGTTATTTCTTTGAACTGGAAGTCTGCAAATGTATATATAAGAAAAAGATGAAATATTTCACGGATTTATACAAATAGTTTTGCTAACCTCGTACTGTCAGCTTGCTATATAACTGTGAGTTCATCTCCTTGTCTCTCTTGTAACGTCGAAATTCATCAACGGCTTCCCGTACCACTGTGACCGTCAAAACAAATCCCTGTTAAAGATACAATTATGCAGTTCAGAATTCTCAAAGTGCTAGAATAGAACTAGTCTGTATAGTGTTCCTACTTGTGTAAGAACATGTGTTGAGAACATTTACTTTTTTTTTTGGCTCATATGGATTTTAGTGTTTCCTTCAATCTGTTAAAGTAATATCTTGGTTTAGTCCAAAAAAAAGAAAAATACTTACACGTTGTACAAATATAACTAGAATAACTTCATATCTAAATTACATGTATTTGGAGATGAAGTTGAAATTTAAAAAATTAAAATGCTTTGGATGAGCTAAAGACAGCCTTTATAGTTCAACAAGCATATTTCCCTATCTTCCACAAATTTTAGGGCTTTACCAAAAACATTCAAGAAGTCTCCAATTTTGAGTTCACTGTCTTTTTCCTAACACACAGAAATGAAAAGGTAAATGAACAGCCAATTTAGTTAGTTTTGCCATCTTAAATGTAGTTATTTACCAATACATCACAAATATGGACAAAGAAAAAGGGTGTCTGTTCTAAAAAACTAAGTATCTAAATGCTTTGGCTGCTACTTTCACAGGATAGTGCCACTGCAGTTCCTGCTGGAGTGCAGACTGCACTACATGCAACTATCTCCAGCCACAAAAGATAGTAAGCTAAAAGGACACAGAACAGTTCAGACAGTGGTAGAAATCAAGTGTTCAGTTCTTCTCCATCACTGAAAGGGAAATAAAATTTTCAATGGTAAAGGGATCTTATCATTACTATAAGATGGCTAAAAAATTCAAATATTCACAAATCCTCCAACAGATAAGGTTCTAGATTATCTAGCTAGCTTCAGACACCCACCAATACCTTCCTTCTACAGAAGGAAATTTATACCATTAGACTTCTTTTCTTGTGAAAGTCCAACAGTTTGCCAACCTTCCCCTAACCTTCCAGTAATCAGAAATGAGTGACGGTGTAGTTTAGTCAAGACTGCTTTAAGAAAAATTCTCCTTTTCAATCAAGGGTTTTGCAGTTCCAGCCCAAAATTCCGAGGTTTCCTCTGTCGCAAACTTATAGTTAGACACTTCTTGTTTGTTCAGGTTCACATTAGCTACAACAATTATATTAGAACTACGCAGAACAAAAACCTGCCTTTGCAAAATGTATTCCTTTTCACTCCCAGGGCATAACTAAATAAGGAGTAGGGTTTTTCCCTTTTCTGGTAGCAGCCTTTTCACAAGCTTTGGCAATACAGATATTTCAGCAGCATAAAAAAGGCACTCCTGAAGGACCTTCAAATATATTTGTCATTTGCACATCTCATTAACTAGACATCAATCAAAGCACAGAATGCCAGGTGTTAATTGCCAGAATTACCCCTAGCAGTCACCGTACCTTGCCGGGCAGCTCAGCACAACTGACCATCACTATGGGGAAATGTTTTCCTTAAATTGTTCCTTTTTTCCTTGTTTGCTCAAAGGAACTTTACACTCTTCCAAAAGGGAGCTGAAACTGTGAAGTCAATCTTACAAAAAAAAAATTAAACCTATCATCTTTCTTTAACTGTAAGCAGTTAAGTATCTTTAGCGTACTGCTTACAATCAAAATTGTACATTTTACATCCTTTGTATGTTGGACTTGAAATAGGAAGTCCATTCCCTACCATATGAATGATGACAAACCAGCAAAATACAGTCCCATGTGAAGAACTCCAGCACTTTATCTAAGTGTATTATGTCTGTTTTTCGTAAAAACTGTTGGAAGTACAGAACAAAAAAAAAAAACCAATAAAAATCAAAACAAAAACCCACCACCACGAAAAAAAACCAAAAAGCTTTTAGCACATAGTCAACTTCTATTCAGTTGGTTTTAAGTATCAGGCTGAACAATTTCTCTTTTACTTTAAAATCTTGAGAAAATATACAAGCCAAGCCATAGCTACTCTTCTGATTATTACTGAAAAATTATCAGCAACTACATGCTCTTCAAAGAAAACCAAATTTATCTGTTAAGCAACAAAGACAGCCCAATGGATCCAACTTAAATGTTTTGTATTTTCATCATACATACTGAGCCTTACTCAATGTCCAATTAATCTCTTTTACCTGGAGGTTAATCATTAGTAGAAAAGCTATTCAAGTAGAAATAAATTAGTTTAGCAAAAAAAAGGGTACCACTAGCGCTGAGATATTGTTGTATTTTGAAGGTGTATGTGAAAACTGGGAAACAGCATGCAAAAGATCCTTGAATAAGACGAACACATCTATACAGAAGAGATTACCACTGTTTGCAAAATACAGTATTTTCACCCTTCTTTGGGCAGGGCTGAGATGTTAAGTGATCTTTTTTTCTGTACTACCCTACTAACACAGAGCTGTACACAGCACTTCACTCTGAAGAGACCAACTACGAGACAAGGCTGACTTCTGTCTTTTCTTACTGGGTCAGTGACAAAGACCTTTGTAAATATCCATTTCAAATCCCACTGTTGAACAAGCTTTCTGTCTTGGAAGTGGTTTTTCTTGCAGCAGAAGCCAAAAATTGTCTGGAAACAGAGGTGTGAAGAACCTCCAGGACAGTCTTTCCATTTATCAATACTTAAAAGGACACATGTTGCAACAATTAAAACAATGAAATCAATCCAGAATATTTACTCTATTGACTTGTTAAGAACGACTTTTACTCAAGCAGTCAGCATGTCACTGTTCCTCTTCAATACCACTGAAAATAAATGCTACTGAAAAATACCTTTTTTAATAAATTTAGAAAATGAAGCATTTGTTCCTCCTGCCTTGCTTTTAGACTTGGGGTTGAAGGGGCCAGAAGGAAGATGAAAGAGAAAGTAATGATCTGGTTACAAACAAGAAAAGAATTCCAAATCATGGGAATATAGCTGGCAGACTACCAAAAAGGGCCTCCTCTGAAGAGAATACAATTTTCAAACCTTAGGAAACCTGAGTCAGAAGCAACTGGTTTGAACACTTTCCCAAGAAAATACTGCAGAGGGCTCAATAATAGAAAGACATATTGAAAGGAAGCCAGTGCAACTGGCAGGGCAACCAATTAGGAAAAGCATGTTTAATGAATAGCTTATTTTCAAGACACATTTTCCTCCTGCTTTATCCATAGCTTAAAATATTTTATTTCAATTTCTGGGAGAAAAGGACATTATCAAAACTGATATAGAATGAATGCAAAAAATATATGCTTTCAATTCTGACCTAGCCTGAAAACATAAAATAGCGAGCAAGTAACAATAAACTGAAAGAAATTTAACACACAAATTACCTATGTTACCAAATAAGGATCTCTACTAGCTGGAGGTTTTTTTGGTTTGTTTTTTTTAAACCTCACAAGCAATCAGCAGCCAGAAAGGAGCACTACTAACTCAGACTAGCTGGTTAACAAAAACAACCTCCAGTCTGTGGGGTAGGAGTGTGGTAGGCAGGTGCAAGGGAGGGCTATCAAACAACAGCCTCTGGAATATCTAAAATACTCTAATTTCAAATAAGCATTTTACTTCTGTTAGAATCTTTAATCACTGTAGTTTACCAGATGCAAATTTATGAAATGTACACATATACGAACTTCTCATCTGAAGTTAAAAATACCCCAAACTTCTAGTTAATAGTATTTTTCTGTTTACCAGAGGAGCCCAGTACGTGTACAGGTAGCCTATTTTCAATGCTGGCACAAACTGTGAGCAGGACACGACGAGAAAATAGAGATTCAAGAAAAACTTGAACTGTTCATATAAAACCTAAAATAAAAAACACAAAATAGGTAAGTGCCTTAAAATTTGTACCCATAATGTACATAAAATTAACTTTTTCATGACAGTAGATACAAAATCATTACATGGCATACTATTATATATGGTACTATTATAGTACTATATAGCACTATATGCTATGTATCATCATAAACTACAAATGCACTGTAAGTTATTTTAATATTACACTGCTATTTTTGTTGAGGAAAATCCTTTGATATTAATGCCTCTTCACTCTGAAAAAGCAATTTGCTAAACTTTTGATATTCTGAAAACAGGACTATGAACTCAATCAATCTTGACAAATATTAAATAAATAGCAATAGATATAATATATATTAAATATATATCACTGCAAAGATTTACTCTGAAATTTTAAAGCAGAATTCAGATCTTTGTAGAACCATCTTGCAATAATTTTATATCCACAATAGTTACCTTCATGTTTATGAGTTAAAAGTTCTTGAAATTTTTCTTTTTTTAATAGCATCAATAAAAAAAAGCAAAATAAGTTTGTAGCTGACGTTAAATTGTCATTTAACTGCTAAAACTTCTCTTCCTAAAAATACTGCATTAAATCTTAATTTTCCCTGAAGTACCAATACTTGAATTCTGTTTTATCTGTCTCACAATGCCTTTTTGTCTTATACTTTTTTATCCAGGCCTTAAATAATAATAATGATAATACAATCATTAGCATCAAATGAACTGAAACGATTTACAAAACCATTATCCTAGTCTTTGTCATTTGAACTTCTACAGAGTAACAACACTGAGTAGGCTATACCATGGCCTAGAGAATACCCTAAAACTCCAGCCCTGTCTGCAGCACATACAGAAAACAGTATACATTGACTCCTCATCACTTTTGTTCACCACATTCTGTCAGCACATTCTCTCCTCAATACAGCCACTGAAGTTTCTCCTTTTGCAGGAGTGGAAACTCTACAACTCATCTGCCTTCTTTCTGAAGTCCTTTGGTTCTCCAAGGGACAAAGGCTACCATCAAGCCAGATGCACTCCTTCAAAATTACTATTTCCCACTGTTCTTCAAAATAGCGAAACTACTCAATATTCAAGAATAAGTGTTGTTTAGGAAGATAAAATGAACACTATAAAAAAGATCCAGTGAGTAAGGATAAGCAATATTGCTCTCTTTCCAAATGGCTATCATGTGGAAATCTCAAAATCAGGCAGTATTCTTTAGTTTCCATAGCAAGACAAGTTTTTTACAAAAGCAACCACAGTTTAAGTTCTCAGAAAGTTTAAACTACAAAAAATTTGTAACAGAATAACATGGGCTTTTGAGGCAATTCAGAAGAAATGCTCAGCATTAAGTTTCTCAAAAGATTATTTTGCACTAAATATTGGTACATAAAATATATTTATTAATAAATCAAAAGTTTGGTCTAAACTCCAAGATAATTATCCAAGTTTTAAGTGAAGACACAGTAACCTTATCACAGAATACACTGTCCCATATTCCAAAGGAATGACAGAGGCAGATTCCTTTGGTAATTAAAGCACCACTTCACCAAGAGCACATTCTCAGCATTGCTTTCATTATAATTACAATGCTAAGAACATTATTCATTTTATAGAATTTTGAATCTACAAAGACTTCACATATTTCTTTAGTAGGCCAGGATAACATGGCACCTCCAGTAGAAGGATCAGAAGTGGCTATTGAACTTGGAACACTAAGACTTGAGAAAATGGATAATCAATTGTTTCAAAGCTAGAAGATTCAAAATAAATCAAAAAGCCACATTTAAAGCATGTCTCCATCTTTTAATCTTACAATTCAGTTAACATTACAACGACTTCTGCATGAAAATCAAAGTTATTGGACAGATATTTATTGCTCTTGCCAGTCCAACATTATTACTCAATTATGTAAAAACCTATGCCCTAGGAAAAAATATTCAGGCAAGTTCATTTCAAAGTGTCTTTCTGGCAGGCACAAAGTAGCCATATCTCAAAATCGCCAGTTCCTTGCAAGAGTGCTACATTACTGTTCAGCTAAAGGCCACCTAAACAGCCTCAAATCAGTAGTTTTTCTCAAAAGCATGGAATTCTATTCCACTATTTACCAACAAATCTGTAAAGCCAAAAAAATCAAATTTGAAGTTGCAAGGAAAGTCAGAGCATTCTTCCAAAATGAAACTAATTTAGCTTGAACTTGTACCTCATGCTAATACCAATGAATTTAATATACTCATTTCTAGCAGTGTGTTTAACTGTTTAGAAAGATTTGATATACCAGGTCAAAGAAAAGTCCACAGAGAACTTTGGGAGGTGCAGACCTGCAAGAGCACCCATCTTGCAGGAGAAGGTGAGAATTAAAAAGTACCTTCCTACAAATCTTTTGAATCCTGGCACAGCACTGACAGTTCATTCAATACAAAGCTGAACACTTCAGTCTACTTCAGCAAACTGAAAAGTCTCCAGTTACATAAAACTGTTAAAAAAAATAAGACTACTGCTCTGAAGCTCAGGAGAAGTATCTCAACCTTCCCATCACAGAAGATATTTTTTGTGGAAATTTACACAAAATTCCGAAGCTGCTGTATCAAGATGTATATGAATAGTAAACAGAAATTGAACAAACTGGTGTAAAGGTAGAAGCAGTTAGGTATTTTATATAAATGTTAGAAAATAAGATTATATTTTGGAAATGTTACAGCTCTTTTAGCCAGTAAGTAGCATTCTGTTAATCTAAACATTATTTTAAATCTTGTATTTTGATACGAAATCATTGCATATTATCCATTGCCAGCTGCAACATTAAAAAGATACAACTCTAAACAGAAGACAAAGCTTCACATGACGAACATTTCAACAAGCGTACATCATTGGAGTCAGTATTTATGACTTTGTCACATTTACAGGTTTAGAACCAATACAACTATGTTCCCTACAAATTACTTCTAGTGGAACAGCATAAAAAACCGCAGATATTAGAAATACACAGTATTTCTAATCAATGAAAAGTGTTAATTTATGTCTAAAATTAAAATTTAGAAACATTTTATTTTCACCAAACTATTGGGCTTTAGGTTTAGGATCTCAGTTCATTTTGAAGTTACTACTGAGTTTCCAAATACTACCACCAAAATAAATATCTGATTCTGCCTATACTGTAAAAACCAGGATTTTCAAAAGATCAAAAAAGAACATTCTCTCTCTCAACAGGTAATTGTAAGCTATGGTTGATCCCTATAGGAAACATGAATCTAGTTTAGGATTTGTAATCCACACTGCAGATTTCTAGTCACAATAATCAATGGCTTACTATATGCTTAATGAATTTTGTGACCTTTAGGAAAGCCTATGTGGCTTAACCAATTTCAGTGTATTTAATAATTGAAACTTCGGAAGAAAACATTTACTTTGTTCAATAGAGATGAGAATATTTTATCCACCTGTGATAAGTAACATTTTATTTCTTTGACAGGAGATCAGTCTTAATTACAAAGCCATTGGTTTTTTTTATGTTTTAATAAAGAAATGTATTAAAGCATCTGTCAGTCATTGGACCAAAGAAGCCAGAAGAATAGAATCAATACTCTTACAAACCAGCATGATCACTTAAATAAAAAATTTAAGACAAAGCGTGGCTGTATTCAAATGCAGAAGATACTCAGATTTTGTAACAGGACAAGAGACTTTTGGACACTATTAGTAAAAGTACGAGTAAAAGCATATTAGTAAAATTTATAATGTCACAGCAGCATACATTTTTAGGTTTCAGCTACTGAAGCTTCAAAAGTTGTCTTCTGTATTGCAGAATTTCATTATAACAATGATTTTTTTTAAAGTACGAACTAGACAAAAGTGTAATGTCTCTTGTTTTCATACACACTGTGAATATTATAGGCAAAAAACTGCAATTAAGATACAATATGGCTTCTTAGGGGAAAAAAGCAACAAAAATACTTCCACTTCAGAACAAAAATACTGTCTGAAGAATTGCGTTCAAAACCAAAAAGGTATCACTACTTTTAAAACTACAATAATAAATGCAACTCCAAAAAGTACTAGTTTACTAAACTAGGCTAATTTATATGACAACAAGTAAGAAGAGGTGGGTTGGTTTTGTCCTTTAAGCAGTTGCCCATTTCAGAATACATTATTTATTATGCTTTCAACAGCAGGGAGTATGAGAAAATATGTATGGGGATACACTGCGATTTTCAGCTATTTATTTCTCAATTGAAGTCAGTGCTTTGTAGTATTTTCACAACAGACTGTGTAGAAGTGCTTCTGTTTTAAAAAAGCATTACAAATTTCTAATGCTTAAAAGTGCAAGGAAACCCATCTCAAATTTCTAAAGCTTCACCGAATTCCAACCACTCAATCATACACACTGTACTTCTTTAGTAAATATGCCTTTGAAAACAAAACAATTTAGGAAAAAAAAAATAAAAAATCAAACAGTCTTGCTCTTAACTGTCGATTTTAATTGAAGACATCAAGATATACGTAAAAAGAAAGATAAGAATCTGGGTAAATAAAACTATCTTTTTGCAGAATTGTCAAAAAACACTACAGAACACATAGTCAGCCCATCACCAAAAAATGGTTAGTAGCCTTACCCCAGGTATAAAGGTAAAGACGTTGTATTTTTGATTTTTTATGGCATTTTTGGGGTATTTTTCTTCACACTTTTCAGGACACCCAAGCCACACTGTGCGAGCCTTCAGCTCTTTCTTTCTTCGGCAAATGTTTATGAGCCAATCGGAACAACTGAAAAGAAAAACAATTGTTTACTTTAAAACTAAAAGTTTACTGTATGTGATTACTATTTCCATACCTGAACCCTAAAGGCAAATAGCTACGAAAAACAGGCTTAAAAGTTTTTGCTACATCTAAATAAGCATGATGTTGACTTGTAATATTTAGGGCAATTACACAGTACTCAACTCATTCAGACATATATACATATAAACACTTGCACATTCTTTACAGTAAATCCTAATAAAATAACGACAAGTTTCACTACACCTTGCCCTGACACACGTTCAAAAAACTGTAGTTAATACAAGTCTGCATTAGCAGTGACTGAATTCCCCCACTGTTAATTATTTAACTCATCTATCATACCTCACAGTCCCTTAGCTAAACTCTTTATCTTGTACTACCAATACTAAAATTATGCTAATGATTGAAGAGGAAATAAGGCTTCTGTTAGATAAAGTTAGAAAAAATTCAATGGCTTTTTATACAATTACCACATAATCTGTAAATCTTCGTTTCCTCCATAAGACTGCCTACAGCAGACATAACAAGGAAGCACACCTAATGCCACACTGTCAAATGTTTTCAACCAAAAAAAAAGAAAGCCACGCCAACCTAAATGCAGATCGCACAACAATCTGCAATGGTGAACTTCAGTCCACAGAAGGAAGGACGAGCATCCTTGCCTAACCAGCTTACAAATCTACTGAAGAGGGTTTAAACTATGAGCAATGAGACAGACAGGAAGAGCTCACAGCCACCTTTAAACAACTGCAATTTAGACATAGCAATGATGGGATAAGATCACAATGTAGGAGGAACAAAAAGGCTGGCAAACAGAACGATGCCACTGAGGCTCAGCAGACTATTTATGAACAACAATAAAAGAAGAAACATGGATGTGACTCAAGTCACATAATATAATCAGCCTAAGACTTACTCAGACTATCCACAGGGGCAGATCATTAACGTAGATGAGTACAGATGGTTTCGGAAGAACTGGTAGTGTGGAGAGAAAAGTGGGTTTCCCATACACTGTATATACTTGTTTTATAATCCAGTACGTTAACGGAGAATTTTTCTGCATTTTTTTAATCCTGGAGGGAGGTGCTTTAATCATGTTGAGAGTCTGTTTTAGGCAAGTGAATCAGGAAGAGTGAGCAGACAGGCCTTCTGTGAGCACCTACTGCAGCCAAAGCACAGACTTACTGGTCACAGTGGATTTCAGCTACATCAGCAGGGGAAGCTGAAGGTGAAGATGAAGTGACACATGTATTCTAGTGAGGTTTTTGAATATACTGACAATATTTTTGATGCACAAAAAGAAGTAACCATTAGGAAGCTCTTATAAATGGTATTCAAACTAACATAAAAGATTTTGCTGAGAACAGGAAGGGAAAATTACGACCCAGTCACCTCAGCATTGATTCTGTAGTCAACCTACTTGTATGTATTTGTACACACCTGAAAGAAAACAGAAAGTCATAACTAACACCAGCATGCAAAGAGCAACCTCTAAAATGGAACTAATTTCCCTCTGAGAAGAACTAGATGCAGTACCGCTTGAGAGTACATGTCTTCTCTCGACTCCTGGGGCTTTCAGCACCCTGACCTAGTGAAAGATGTCCCTGCACATGGCTAGGGAGGCTGGACTAGGCGATCATTAAAGGTATCTTCCAACCCAAATCATTCTACAATTCTATGTCTCTAACAAAACTTAAGTCTCAAGATATTTCTCATAAGTAAAGGAACATATTCTTGGAACTGACACAGTTGGAAAAATCATAATTGCAGAGAGGTTCATTATAAAACAAAAATAATTTCAGTGAAATTCTGCAAAGTTTTATCTAGAACTTACTGGGTAACTGACTATCGAGTATTTAATTTTTCAGACCATGAAAAGCTAGAAGAGACAGGAGTACATGCAAAGAGGAGATCAGAATTCAAAGCTGTCTGGACAGACTGGAAAAACTACCTGGAAGAGACAGAACGCAGTTAAACAGGCAAAACTGCAACACAGTACATTTATACAGAAATAATCAACTACGCAAACACAGAATTGGAAAAGAGTTAGTAGACGGCAGCTCAGAAGAGGAGGACTCAGTTACTGCAGGACAGTGATACACATATGCAAAAAAAGGCATGTATCTGGTCAGCATGGACAGGCATACCGCTAGCAAGTCATGAATGTACTCCTTTTTCTCTAATCCAGTCCTAGGAAGATCTCAGTTGGCTTACCATACCATTTTTGAATACCAAATTTCAACAAATCGTCCTATTGGGAAAGCAAAGACCACACACAAGAGCAACAAAACAATTACAGGTCTAGAAAGCAAGGCAGGCTTGTCTACTAGATACACCAAAAGACACAGAGTTGTTCAGAGAAGGCCGAGTGTGGACCTAATATGGTTTCAACTATGTAAGAAACAGCTGCAAAGATGAAAGGGACAATTATTCTCTAGGTCCACCATGATTAAGTAATAACAGACTTCAACTGTGGCAAATAAATAAGCAGGGGGGACAGACATTGAGTAAATCCTTCTAACAAGTAGGGTGGAAAGAAACACTTAAGGAGGCTGGAATTGCTACCACTGCAGGTCTCAGATCAGGTTAGATCAGACATAATTGATAGGTGTAATTGATCCTGTGCAGGCAAGGAATTGACTGGACAGCCTCTTAAGGCCCTTTCCTATTGTGTTTTTCCCCAATTACAAAATCATGGTACACACAAATACGCAGGGAAGGAAGGCTGATATTTAGCTTACATCACCACAGTCCCACTTGAAATGTTCTTGTCTGTAGCCTACATTATCCCAGGCCTATGACAAACTAATTTTACCAAAGAACAAATGGAATTCAAAGTTGCAGGTTCTTTTTAAAGAAAATCAGAAGTTGTGCAATAGTAAAATCGAAGCAATATTCACTTTGTTATGGAAACGCCACTACACCAATACTCACAAGATGACATTTAAAATGCTTCAATTTTAAATGCTGGATTCTTAAGATTTCCTCCTGGAAATTTCACTATAGGATGGACACAAATTTGGTTTGATCCTATCTAAACATGCATTTTATCGTTGTTACAAACATAAGCCCATTCAGCAACTTTTCCCCCCATCACTTATAAACAGTGACAAAGAATTATTTTATCATACAAATTGCAACAGTGTTAACTCAACATTTAAAATTCAGCCCTCTTATTTAGTAACATGCAAGGCAGGGAAAAAAATCAAGATACTTTGATCATTAAATTTCTCTTTAAAACAAAATGAACAGCACTCTTTCTACGTGATGGTTCCACAACCAGTTTAATGGCTGTGAACCTATCCTACTGCTCCTGAAACAGCTGGTACCACCCTCCTCCCTTAACAAAGGTGCAGAATCTTGCCCCTTCCATTGTGCTGACACAACTACTCATGCAACTGCATGGGTAAACCAGACCCACAAATTGATACAGCTGTAAACTAAGACACAATAAAAAAGGGGATTATTTTCAGTTAGATCCACCCCTGATCTTTAAAATCTATAAAACTGTAAAAATAGTTGAAACGACGCAGGCTACGTGCTTGCAGGAGAAGGTGGAATGATTCCACTGAGTGCCAGCTTGGATTTACACTTGATAAAACTGCTTACGGAATTAAAGCTTTAAATGTATTAGTTTCCAAGGCAGGGGAGGTGGAGAGGACAATACAAATGGAAGAGACAGCTTAGCTGTCTAGTAAGAAGTGTCAAGACAGATCTGTAGCAAAAAAGTTCCAAGGAAAATAATTTTTCTCTGTGGAAAATGAACAAGCGTAACAGTTTCTGTCTGCAAGCCCACAGACAAAAATTTCCTGACAGCCTTTGAAATCTTGCATTGCTTAAATCAGTTTTTGAATTTAAGCTGTAAACAGACTGAACATTTGACTAGGCACAGTCTCTTCCGTAGAATAATTTCCTCAGACACTGAGGACTTTTCTATTGCTAAAATTAAACATTTGACTAAAGCAATTGAATTATCCAGCTTTCCTTGCCACAGAGTTTCCCCTTCTTGAAACTGCTTTTTCCATTACAGAGCGACTGAGAAGCTGAAACAGATGCCATAATGACCATTAGTTTAGCAAATGCCAAAAAGTACAGACACAAGAATGATGTCTGACTGGGAAACAACCGTGATACTTTTGATAAAAGTGATTTGACTGACAGAGCTAATAACACTGAAGTTCTCAAACGCAAGAAAATCTGATGTGATGAAAATATTACAGGTTATACCCAAATCAGTATCACAATGGTTCAGATAGTTTTACTACCTTAAAAGTAATTATCAGTTAGGTTCTGCCATTTACAGTCTTGACAGTAATCACTGTTATAGAATCATAGAATCATTTGGGCTGGAAGGGACCTTTAGAGGTCATCTAGTCCAACCCCCCTGCGGTGAGCAGGGACATCTCCAACTAGATGGGGCTTTCACCACCTCTCTGGGCAATCTGTTCCAGTGCTTCACCACCCTCGTAAAAAATTTTTTCCTTATGTCAAGTCTAAAATCTTATGTAAAGTTAAAAATCTTTTTTCAAAGGAAAAAAAAAAAAAAAAAAAAAAAAAAAAAAAAAAGAGGTGGACATGCTGGCCTTGGAAATCCTAATCAACTTACTTTCATTCAGATTTTAAGAACAATGAAGTCTACCCAATATTTTTGAAACTCAGATTATCAACACCCAACACATACTTAATCTGTTCTCAAATTAACATTTCCCAATACAGAAACTATTTTTGTGCAAGGGTATGAACCCTTTCATGGGCTTTTTGTATCCACTAAATTTATGTCAAACAAACATCAGGAGATAAATCAGAATAGCATTCTCCAAGCTTCAAATATCCTAAAAATATAATGTAAGACGTAGCATGATCAAGACACACTTTAGATTTTGTTGAAATCTTTAATGTAAAACCCACACCTTATGCTATGGATTCAGCAATTAAAGACCACATTCTTGTTTATTGGTTTAAGCATTTATTTCAAATGCCCTTGCCTCGAAAATTCAACACATGCACAGAAAGCTTTCTGTCTTAAGCTAGCTATAAGCCATGTTGCCTATATCAATACAACAAATTGTATATATGGAGAAATGCATTAATTGTTAAAGGAATTTTAAGGTGTATCTATTAAATGGCTTTTTACCAGCCTGCTTCCTATTTGAAGGAACAACCACCACAGTCTTCACATTAGTAACTGATGCCATATTAAAAAAAAAAATAAAATTGAGTAATTGTTCAATAAGAACCCTTAACTTTTTCGTAAATACAGCCTATCTCTCCAAGTCAAAAGCTAAAGTAAAAGTCTCAACTGACTCTGCAGCTCTAATAATAAAGGCTTTTTTTCTTTTCTCTTTTCATTACTTTTATCCTACAAGCTTAACTGCCAGTATCTTTCACAAAACAGCATTTTCATCAGAATGGAAAGATAATATAAAAGCTCTATATTGTATGCAAGGGTCAGCTTTTCCTTATTAGGTTTTAAGTAGCAGAAACTAGTTCTGCAAAGAAAACATACTGTAATTATTGTACTCAACAGGTAGCTTCAGTAATCAGGCCAAAAGCAACACAGTGGTCATGTCATTCTTAAAAGATCAGCATTTTCCCATGCTTCTGCATAACAAATGCGTTGCAGATTAATTGAAAGCGTACAGGCCATCTTAGAGCCCAAATTAATCCGAGCATTTGATATCCCCTTCACTTCATATGGAAATGCCATTCAATGGCACCATTTTCATAGGGACAAAGTGGTTTTTGATAACAAGTGGAATGTAAATCTCATGAGAAAGAAATCAATCCAGCCCAAAGAACTCCAGAGTATTGATCTATGTGCATTATAATTTCACAAGCTTGAAGAGAATTTGTAAGTTAAAGGGGAAATGATTACAGCCACAAAACAGCTGCTATATCACAGTTTTCTTTTAACTGTGCTATGAAAGCAAGAAATAAGCAGTTTCTGAAGTTAAAAGTTATATTGGTTAAGTCTTTAGTTGGTTCAAAATCAAAGACAACATTTGATTTAATTATGATTTTTTTTCTTGCAAATGTAAAAACTGTTTAAAGAGCTGCAGATTTGCAAATAAAGTTCAGGCCATTCAGTTCCGATCAACAAGTCTATTGTCTACATTGAAGTTAAAAGCTGAATAAAGGATTTTTACAAAATCAATTTTAATGTACAGTGAACTTGCCAAACCTTCCATATTTGCTCCTGTCAAAAGAGTGAAACTTTTTCAACTAAACAGTAACAGTTTGTGACATAGCAACAAAAATCTATAGAATATAAAATTCTAAAGCAGCAAGCTAAGAGATGGAAAACTTCCTCTCACAAAAATGAGATTAATCCTAACAATGCAAGACACACACACACGAAAAAACCTGGTGGGTATGAGGAGTTTTGTTTGCAACAAATAAAGTGATTTTGAACACAAACACAAGACTTTCACTGACAACCCAAAAGAAATCAGGGGCCCCCTGAGCTCAGCTCCAGACAAATGCCTGGTCTTTTATTGTGTTCATCTTCCTGTCACAGTTTTGAAAAATTTACAATTTAGTTTAAAGCACAAAAGGAAATTCTGGATGTGGAAGTTGAGATTTCAACCTCACCCAATTTCAGGTATGAGATACTAATTTCCATAAAACAAGGCGAAATTTAAAATTCTGTTTAACTGAACAGGTTTCAGACTGCTATGCTGTATTTAATCTCGTATTACACTTAAAAGAATGCAGTTTGCCTTCTGGAAATAAGTTTCAGCTGTTTGCGTAACACGTATAATCCACCATCAACACACATGAAAATTGTTTTGCCACATGGCTCCTCTCCATTTCAAATGTGAAGGTATCAACACTCAATTCTATCCCAAACTGGTACTTTACATCACATAAAAATAGCGTAACTCATTCTACTACAGTGTAAGTAATAACCGCACGTATGATAATACAGTAGCCTCTAGGTTTCCTGTATGATCTTTTGTATGATCCTAGGTAACTTTATGAACTGCAAATAGGCATTTCAAAAACTCTAGTATTCTGTGGGCCCCAAGTTTTATTGTAATGAGAAACCATCAAAAGGAGTAACTTAACACTGACTGCACATCCCTGACTTTTATCAATAACAAAGCCTCAACGGTACTCTCAACCCAGAAGAAACCTCCCTATCACCACGATGGGTATTTACATATTCACTCAGAAGTCCTCACCCCAGCTGAGGTTTTTATCCAGCCTGACCATAGGATTCACCTTCCTTCCAGCTAATTTTCCCCATCTCGTCTAAGCCGATGTCTGCATCTTGTGGGAGTATCCTCTGCTTGCTAATAAACTACTGAAACCCCAAGCTTCTGCAAGGATCTGGTGGTTGTCTTTTTTTTTTAAAATAGAGATTTTATTTTTCTATGAAAAATGAAAGTTATCTGCTATGATGTTCTGTTATAGAAAACACTAATGTGATTAAAATGCCTCTAGGTATAAATACAAGACTGAATGGACTCTTTATTGTATCCACGTTCAGCTGAGGAAATCAGCAAAGCAGAAGTCATGCTCCTTTAAGGCCTCTTTCTCAGTGAGGGCTTTTCTTTAAAGATCTACATTAGCAGTAAAATAAGTATAAGATGTACCAAAATAATGAATCCATAATGCAATTTCCTTGCTCTTTTTATTCTCAAAAAATCCTACAAAAATATGGCTCAAGTATCTTAATTAATAATTTCTAGTAAGTTTGAAAGTTTCTAGGCTTGAGCTCCACTTAGAGCTGAGACACACGTATCAGTTTTAAGAAGCAAGCAAGAACATGAACTTGTGCAATCCTCAGCGTTAATGACACTTCATTGTGACATCATCTTACAATTGTTAATTAGTTCCAACAAACTCATCTTGCAATTGCATGCCTCTATCCAAACACTGCAGAATTTCTGTCAGGACAACTACAGGGTGCAGTCTTCACTGGTCTACCTGTTTTCATGAAATTTACAGGAATGCAATCACAGTAACTAATACTCACTAATACTTAAAGTGCTGAACTCACCCAATATATACTGTTTGAAAGGTATCTCAGTTTTAAGATATGTCCAAAAGATTAACAGCCACTTTAAATACTTTAAAATGTTTTTTTAAAAACTGCAATGGTAGTTCTGTAACGGAAACACTGCTTCCAAAAGTCATTTACATATACATATGCTGCTTCTGTAAACTTTGCTAGCTTACTTCCTTCCTGCTACTTTCCAAACACGTATTCCTTATAATAAAATTAATAATCCATGAGTTTTTGTTAAATCATTAAAGAAAAAAAAGAAATCAACACAGATTATATTTTTTTGCAAATAGTAAAGCTGTATAACAAAATTATTTCCAAACTAATGGTGCATAAACATAGCTTTGCTTAAGTAAAAGAACAGTATCGGGCATCTTGGAATTTATTAAGTGCCATGAAAGCCACCTGTGAAGACTTCTTTCTAAATCAATTCTAAAATCATCTGCCAAAAAAATCATTCATCATTTAAGGTCACTGAAAATGCTCCACTCACTTCACTTGACTGATTCTCAGATTTTATCATTCAAGATAAAAAAACTTCACCACTCTTAATCATCCTATTAGCAATTTCTGTATTTAGAAATTTGCTAGCAATTCATTAGAAAGTTACTATTCCAAGGTGACTGCATACAGCTGAGTTTAGCACAAATTTTTTTTAAATAAGAACCAAAGCACAAGAGCCAATTCCAGCTGTAATTCACTCCAAGGACACCAGTTACATGTATTCTTTAACCTTTAAAGTTGCAGTGTTAAATAATCATTAGTTAATTAATTTGCTTTTTCTTTTCAGTATCATCAATAAAACGTATATATTGTCAACTCAATACACTAATGCCCTCAAAGTAAAAGAAAGTTAAGTCTTCTACCCTGATGTGGTTTTGAGTAGAAGTGAGGACCAGGCTTATATGCCGTATTACAGATCTCAGACAAGTGTAAGTTTAGTACATCATCTCTCTTTCAAGCCACTCTTTTTCTTGCAAGTCAGCAAAGCAGACAGAAGCAACACACAGCAGCAGCTCTTCAGAACTTTTTTATTAACAGCTGGTAATGTCCTAGTAGGGAAAATGCAGGGAAAGCAATCAAAAGGTGCATGAAAAGCAAATTACTGTGTTCCCATACTCTGTATGTATCACACAGTACACAGTTACTATTTACTTAATTCATTTAATAGCTTAATAAAAAGTACTGGTACACAACAAACCTAGTGCAAAGGAATTTCCAGCCACCACAGATAAACCATTCTAAGCCTCTTCTTCTCTGAGAAATTCTGGCTCTTGGTAGAGTATGGTAATCACTCTCATCATTTTCAAAGCCTTCTTCTGACATCATGAGAGGCATTTCATCCAAATGAGAGGACTCATCTTCCACTTGGTACCTGGCAAAATGAAATAAAAACACTAGATAAGTAGCCAATACATCATTTTTTGTTACTGGGAATCTCCTAAAGTAACAAGCTAATTTTTGCCATGTGGAATTTTATTAGAGATATTTTCATCTAAACATCTCATGTATTTGTGCTAACACATCAGCAAGAAATTCTGATGAGTTAAAAATGTGCAATACAGCAAAGGGGCCTGCAATCAATCACTGTCAATCATAGTATAAATAATTCTAGAGAAATTCTTGTTTCTTATACAATTTGTACATAAAGCTGCAATTTCATACTCTTCAAAGGACTCTTTGTGAGATTTTTCTTAAACAGAATTTACTTGGCAAAGTTGATAGCAGATACAAATTACTTGAGTTTTCATGGAAGTACAGACTTTAGATCTCCACTGAGCTGCTTCAACTTGCTTTCCTGATGTCTATTCCTGTGTGTACAAGCCTCTGAGTCATGCTTTCTACACAACTCATCAGTATCTTAGTTTTAATTACTAAAACATTATAGTTACTTTTATAATTCCACACAAAAACATTCAGTAAGTGAAAACAGGTTTGCCTGTGGGACCTATGTAAACAACAGTAAGCTAACAGTGGTTCTTTCCTCTCCAGAAACTATTCTCCACTTCAATTTTACACTTCTGGAATGCTTTTTATGTCAAGACAAAACACTGGAATATTCGATAAGAAAATTCCCCTAAGTGAATGTAAATTGAGTAACTTATTCAGTTCATACTTTTATACCATTGGGAAGATGACTGAAAGAAACTGCACTATTACTCAGGTTTCCTTTCACAGACTATGAAAAGGACTAATAAGGATATTAATTAGAAGAAAATTTGAAAAGGAATTAAACATTATAGTCAAGCAAAGATTATCTACTTGTATGCAATAACTCACACAATAGCCCTAATCAATATGAATGTATGATACAGAAGATAAACAAAACGGTCAGAAAAGCTGGCTGCACAAACGCTTAATACATAAATGAAAAACGTATCAAACTGATCACAAGAGCAAAAACTTCTAAATATATAAAAATATTACTTGACACTATTGGTAATGGTAGTTAAGCAGTCTTTAAATAGGAACAGCTGATGGAAAAAAGTATCTGATCGGAATAAATCAAAATTATTATTTATAATTTTTTTAAAAAAAACCAAAAGAAAACAAGAAAAAGGATTGAGTCACCAAAAAAAAAGAGTGTTTGGCACAGAATTAGTAAGTTTGATCTTTATGAAGCTGTATAGTATAGCCATCTCTTACAATGTGCATCCTGGGACTGTCCCATTTTCCCCACAGCAACCTAAAAACAATCCATATAAAAGCAGTAATTAACAAAACCAAAAATCCATTCCCTTTATGTTAGAGCGCAGCTGGAGTGCATGGAGCTCTGCCTGGGGATGGAGGAGGAGTTAACCGAGAGATTCTGGGTTTGGATAAAAGAGAGGACAGGTAAAGGCGACACTACAGTGGGCGTCTCCTACAGACCACGTGAACAGGAAGGACAAGCAGATGAGGCCCTTTACAGACAGACAGGAGCAGCCTCACGTTCATAGGCCCTGGTCTTCATGGGGGGACTTCCACCACCCTGATATCTGCTGGAGGGACAACACAAAAGGACAATCCTGGAGGGTCCTGCAATGCTTTGACATCTTCCTCCAACTGATTAGAGGAGCCAAAGAGGAGAGGTGGTCTGCTGGACCTCATCAAGCAAGGAGGGGCTCATTAGGGATGTGAAGGTCAAAGGCAGCCTTGGTTGCAGTGACCACGAGATGGATCCTGAGGGCAGGGAGGTGGCAAGCAAGCTCACAACCCTGGACTTCAGGAGAAAGATCTGGCATTTTCAAGAGCTGCTTGGAAGAGCTCCATGGGATAAGGTCTTGGAGGTAAGAGAGGCCCAAAAAAGCTGGTTAGTATTCAAGGATCAGCTCCTTCAAGCTCAAAAGATTTCTATCTCAATGGATAAGAAGTCAGGCAAAAATGCCAGGAGGCCTGACTGGATGAACAAGGAGCTTCTGTCCAAACTCAGACACAAAAAGGAAGAAGGGTAGAAGTCAGGACAGGTAATCTGGGAAGAATACAGAAACATTGTCCAAGCATCCAGGGACAAAGCTAGGAAAGCTATATATTCACAAATGGAATTGAATCTGGCCAGGGATGTCAAAGACAAGAAGTCTGTAAGTACATAAGTGACAAAAGGAAGATGAAGTAAAATGTGGGCTCACTGCTGAATGAGATGGGAGACCTGGTTACACTGGACGTGGAAAAGGCTGAGGTACTGAATGCCTTCTTTGTCTCAAGTCTGTCCTGGCTTGGCTGGTTTACTAGCAAGACTGGCTTTCAGGAGCCCCAGGTCTCAGAGAGGAGGAGGAAACGCTAGAGCAACAAAGATGAGGATAAGTTCAGGGAACAGTTAAGCAAACTGGATATATAAAAGCCTATGGGCCCTGAGATGATGCACCCACGAGTACTGAGGGAGCTGGCAGATGTCATTGCAAGGCCACTTTTGATAACCTTTGATCAATCACAGCAACTAGTAGAAGTGACTGAAGAATGAAGGAAAGCAAATACCACTCCTGTCTTCAAGGAGGGCAAGAAGGAAGACCCAGTTAACTATAGGCCTGTTAGCCTCACCACAATCCCTGGAAAAGTCATGGAGCAGCTCATCCTGGAAACCATTTACAGGCACATGGAGGACAAGAAAATCATCAGGAGTAGTCAGCATGGGGGAAAGTCATGCTTGACCAACTTGATAAACTTCTACGATGAAGTAACTGGCCTGGTAGATGAGGCAAGAGCAGTGGGTAGTGTCTCAGTAAGGCCTTTGATACTGTCTCCCATAAAATCCTCATAGACAAGCTGTTGATGCAGGGGATGGATGAGCAGACACTCAGGTGGACTGAAAACTCTGAACAGCCAGGCCAGAGGGTGGTGATCAGTGGTGCAAAGTTTAGTTGGAGGCCAGTAACTAGCAGTGTAACCCAGGGATCCATACTGGGTCCAGTCCCATTTAACATCTTTGTTAGTGATCTGGATGATAGGGCAGAGCGTACCCTCAGCAAGTTTGCAGATGACACAACTGGAAGGAGTGTCTGATAGGCCAGAGGGTCATGCTGCCATCCAGCATAAACTTGACAGGCTGCAGAAATGGGCAGACAGGAACCTCAGGAAGCACAGAAAGGAGAAGTGCAAAGTCCTGCACCTGGTGAGGAACAACCCCACACACCAGTATATGCTGGGGGCCACCCAGCAGGAAAGCAGCTTGGCAGAAAAGAACCTAAGGATTCTGGTGGACACCAGGTTGAACAAAAGCCAGCAATGTGCCCTTGCTGCAAAGGAAGCTGCTGGTATCCTGGGCTGCTTTAAGCAAAGTATTGCAAGCAGGTCGAGGGAGGAGATCCTTCCCCTCTGTTCAGCACTGGTGAGGCCACACATTAGACCCCTGTGTCCAGTTCTGGACTCCTCAGTACAAGACAGACATGGACATACTGGAGAGTCCAATGAAGGGCCACAAAGATGATTAAAGAACTGGACTATCTCTATGAGGAAAGGCTAAGAGCGCTGAGACTGTTCAGTCTGGAGAAGCCAAGGCATGGGCAGGATCTTATTAATGTTTATAAATACTTGAAGGGAGGTTGCAGAGAAGACTGAGCCAGGCTCTCTTCAGTGGTGCCCAGTCACAGGAAAAGAAGCAATGGGCACAGAAACACAGAAGGTACCTTCTGAACATCATGACAATGGCTGAGGACTGGCAAGGGTTTTCCAAGAAGGCTGTGGCATGTCCATCCTTGGAGATGTTTAAAAGTTGTCTAGACATGATTGTGGGCAAACAGCTCTAGGTGGCCCTGCTTGAGCAGGCGGGAATTCTGCAGACACAGAACAGCACCCTGAGCAGTATCAGTCCAAAATCTTGATACCTTCTTTTCAAAATACTGGGTTTGTGTAACATTACAAACACCAGGACTAAGCATGAAAAAGCACCATCACTGGATTTTCATTTTCTCAACTTACTGTATACTTAAAATAAAAATTTGAAACAATTTCCTCTTCCCCTAGATTTTCTGTGTTGTGCCCTGTTATATACAACAATCTATTAAAGCAGGTATTAAACTTTTTGGATGTCAGGAAAGGGGTGGGGAGGGAAGGACTGTATTGCAGTATTAGATTTCTATTGAAAAGGTACACCACATATTTTACACTGACAATGTAATAAATTGGTATCGACACAGTTGAAAAGGAAGATCTAATAAGGAAAGGGGGGGGGGAAACACAAACCCACTATTGGTTAACCAGTTATTAGGTAGACACTTCCTCTTTTGTTTGGCAGATGATGCCCTGATTTCTGCATCTCCTTTGAATCCCTTTGTATGGGATATCACTAAGGGATGTTCATGTGTTCAGACCAGATTAGAAAATAATGCATAACTAGGAATAATAATAAACACCCTCTCTCATCCCCCACAGCTGCAAGTCAACTGAGTACTGGAACCTTAAGCATGTTAGACCTTGTATAGAAAAATCTTCATCTCTTTCAAATGATGCAAAAGCACAACCACACGGCAGAAAACACAACAAAAGTTTCAAACTAAAAAAACATGTAAATTTGCTCAAAGTTATGAGTTCCCAGAAAGTTAGTTATGTGAAAATATGGCATGGAAAGTGCTTTCAGAATTATTACCACTAGTACTCACTTCAAAAAAAAAAAGGAAAATAAAGATTAAAACAAGCATAAAAAACTTGATCTTCACACACAATCTTATTTGCAAAAAGTTGCACCTAATGTTTAGTTTAATATGGCAATCTGGCAATATGTTTTCCATTCCCATTTCTTTTAATGACCATTGATAGTACACTATACAAAAATTCTCTTAACAGAGCAGTTATTACAGGTTAACATGTATATTATACTAAATTATACGGATTACTCTCAGACTAGACTAATTTTAACACTAGACAATAAAACTACTGCTTAGAAAAAACTTAAGACATTACTTTCTGCTAAGACTTCCAGCAAGACAGGGCTGTGTTTAAACAGATTCACATTCTACACTTTTATAAACTCTCCTGGTTAAATTTGCAAATTACATTATCACAGTTTTAATATAGAGCTTTCTGTTGTATTGTGTTTTGCTTTTAGACATCCAAACAATTAATAGTGTATTTGTAACACCATCCAGTGAAATCACAATCTGCTAGCTGTTCTGGAGTATACAGTAAGATATTGCAAAGTAAGAGATTCCTTTTACTTCTGTAAAGTTAACAAGTGTCTGATTCAGAAAATAATGTCCTTTATATACAAAGGTAACAGAGCAAACACCGGTAAAATCTCTCTTGAAGGAACACACTAACGCGAAAGAATTACAGGAGAGAGACTTGGCTGAGAAACGTACTCACAGACATGCGTAATATTTAAATCTACTATTGTAAATGTAGTAATGAAGAGTATATTGATGTCCTAATCATAATTTCTTTAAGTTTTTTTTTTGCCATTGTAAGCGAATATTTTTTCCCACAATCAGTATCTAGGTTTGCACTTTTAAATATAGAGCTTCACCAAGTAGTGCAGATAATAAGCATAAGCACCATCATGTTTAGTAATCCTGACTTCAAAATACAGCCTCTGAACTGGCAAGCAATTTACTCCGTTTCAAAAGCAATTTTGCTATTGTGTTGGAAAATTGTACTTCAGTATTTAAAAACAATAAGATAATGAATAATGGATTTTTCATAACTAGGATGAGGATAAAAATCTTTATGTCTTTGTTACCTGGTATTTTTCTGCACTTAATTGCCTGAAGTGCTGATTTTCCTTGAGTGACAAATCAATTAAGTATAATCCTAGAAACTTGTATTAAAATAGGGAAGCACTGAAAGCAACATGAATAAAGAAGTCAGAGTGAAGACATCAAAACTCTCAGCATGAGTGCTACTAAAACAGGTATGAAGACAACTATCTTGACAAAAATACGGTTTCCTAAGGAAAAAGGAACATTAATATTAAAGAACTTTCAACAAAATCTGACTACTATTAGGAATATCATTTAACAGATTTAAGTGACAGGAAACCATGTACAATAAATACTTCTAAATAAACTTTTAATATAAACATCTGCTGTGAAAATGATGCCTCAAGTCACCTGTACCTACGTGATTCTACTTTGATGGCTGCTTGCCAGAGCAGACGTGGCTGCAGAGTTCCATGCGTGGCATACCTGGTAATGCAAACCATTATAATTCATTTAAATCTAGTTTGGTTATCTATTTAGATCCATAATTATTTCTTTATTTTCTGCCAGCTTTCCATTGTTCTAAAAGAGCAATGTTCAAGGGTGCAGCAGGAAGGTGCAAGGGGCAGGGCAATCATGACTGCATGTTCTTCTGGTTTTACTCACTTGACCTGCTTAAAAGACCCAGGTAGGATAGAAGCACTGTGTCAGATACTGCATAGACACTGTTTCCTTGTCGCCTATCACTTGTGCTATATACCATAATTCACAAGAAGGAAAAACAAAGCTGATGTCTTAAAGCAGTATTTCCCAAACCTAGCAAGGGAGGGAAAAGGAATGTGCGGCCATGAGCCTACACAGGATCTAGATGTAGGTGATGGCTGTGGGATCCAGAGCAGCATGGAAGAGATACAGCAGTGGAAAAAATGCAGCAGTGGAAAAAGTTCCAGTTGAGCTTCAGAGTAGAAAAGCTGAGAAAGACCAGTTACTGGCAGTTGAGCGACCACCACCTGCCACTATGACCATGTCCTGTCCCATCAAGCACTGGCCACTTGGCTCAGTGGCTGCTGCCGGCCACAGGACTCCCTCTGCTTCTGGTCATGGGAAGAGGAAAGACTGAGGGAGGAAGCAGCACAATCTATCTCATCCATACCCTGCTCTATCTCCAGTAATTCCTCCAAGGGTTAACCTAGGTGAACACCCTCCCAGTCTGAGGATAAAGGAGACTGCCAAATTGTAGAGATGCAGTGGGAGGAATAATGAAGAAAGGGACAGGAGTACTTGTATAAAGCACAAGAATTGTTTCTTAAAGGACAAACCACCAATGCAGCAACTGCTGTAAGCTGCCTGTATCACTGATGTAACTGTTCAGATCCTGTCCTGGCACAAAGAAAAAAAATCACAGGAAACTCTGCACAGCAGGAGGAAAAATTTTATTAAGAAATGTACATTCACCCATAACAATGCTTCTAAGTATACAACGTATTTTCATCTAACTGCTCCTCTTATTCAAATATCCAGTGTCTCCATAAAACAGATTGCTTTGCCAGAAGCTACCCAAGAAAAATCAAATTACAAATACTTATTTTCTCAAATACTTTCCTGCATTTCTAAAGATTGGATGTTACTTATTCCCCTCTAATTTCAAACACCTCCGTGCTTTACACAGCAGTAAATTCAGGTAAACTACAGAGCAATCATGTTGTTCCTAGATTACAACAGAAGCGGAAAATGGAAAAATCTTCTACAGGTAAGTGCATGAAATTTAAAGAATTTCCTTTAACCTCTTCCTCCAAAACACAGAAAAGCTATTTCTGAAGTTTTTAGAATTGACTAGAGCTTGCCACTATTTGTCCCTGTCTACCTTTAGTTGTGTCTCTAATGCAAGTGCACCCCTAATCAGTATTACTTGGAAAGTCTGTAAATCCAAGTCCTGGCCTTAAAAAAAAAAAGATACATACACACACACACAAAATAATCCTATTACAAATTTGTATGCATTATCATGGACAGGTGTGCCAGCAATGTCTACATGGAAGACAACACTAGCCACAGTATCCCAACCGTTATAACAAAAAACCAAACCAACCAACCACACACCCCCAAACATTTGGACAGCTTTTAAGTAGCTGAAGATTTGTAGAGCTGAACACTTATATCCAGTTTCAAAAGTTAACTTTGCTTCTGTGTCCTTGCTTAACAGGATCTTTAAAAACCTATGACAACACTCCCATGATACTGCATGTTTATCCACTGGACACCAAAACAGATAGAAGGAAAAAGTACTTCTACTGTATGCAGGCAAGTTCATTACTGAGTGTGCCACTGAGATGAATATTTACTGAAATAAGACCAAATAAATCAAGTTGCCCCCAGCCTTTTACAAGTGAGGCAGAGAGATATTCTGGAAAAACACAAGGCAGCATTTCTGATCAAGTACTACAATAATTAAAAAAAAAAAAATAGCTGGCATCTTCTGCCATGCAGAACTAAGGGAAAAACCCTTACATCTGTTGAGATAAAGGTGTAAAAGCAGACTACATAGTTATTACCAAGGCAGCTCCCTTTCTTCGGTAGCTTATCAGAAATTGCTTAAATCACAGATACTAAAATTACAGGTTCCACCAGACACTTACATAAAGCAAATATTCTGAATGCTATTTGCCTTCTCTCTCGCCTAGCTCACACTTTCTTACCAGAACCGTATACAGATGAAACAAATCCAGAGGATCTGCATAATTAAGCCTTCGTGAAAAAAGGCACCCTTCCTTATTCCCCTTTGCTTACCTCACAGAGCGCTACACATATCCTAATACAAAATCTTTTTAAACCCATGACAAGATGAGCAAGTCTGTGTATTTAACAAACAGGTACCAGAAATACCTAAACACACAGCAGGACCTGAGGAAATATCATCTACAATCACCAGAACCCTATTTTTAATTAGTAAGGTACATCATTGATCACAACAACGGGACCATTTTATCACTGTCACTGGGTATTGTTATTGACATTGTAGCCCAATCAATTGTTTTCTCTCCCTGTTCTTAGCAATCCAAATGCCTGCCTAAGCAACACAAATCACTGTATT